CCTCCAGCCAGCAGACTGCAATCAACAGGTTGTTCTAACAGAAAAATAATAACCCTAATCCATCTTTTAAAGTTTAGGAGGTTGGACTAAATGATGAAGAAACACCGATTAAAGCCCTCTTAAAAGCTGAAGTGGGGCCAGAACTGAAATGCTTTGTGTTTTAGGAAAAAAAATCTTTCTCGTTGCTAAGTGAAAGAACCATCACATTACAAAAAAATTAGAACTTTAAAATTTCTGCCTCACCATCTCGAATTTAATTATCTGTCCACATAAAATGAGAACGAAACACTTTGCTAACCTTTAGGTGGCCAATTCACAGGCAGGTGGAGAGGTTCAGGTCCCTGGAATAGCGTTGAAACAAAAGAAGCATCCTGTTTTCTTTTTTCAGTGTCTCTCTCTTCTCTCTCTCTTTTTTTTTTTTTTTCTCTCTCCTTTTTTTTTTTTTTTTTTTTTTTTTAAAGCGTTTGAAAACTGAAAGGTGGGTGGTGGGGTGTGTGCAAAGAGAGGAGGGGGTGAAGTCAGCCCACGCTGGTGTAGGAAGAGTTTTAATGGCCGATGCTGGTAATATGGTTTGCCTGCTACAGTGTCTGCACTACTGCAGCTCTGTGTGTGGGCGTAAAGAAATGACACGACTGGGTTTCAAACCATTACACAGAAGATTTGCAAACAGTTAAAAAAAAAAAAAAAAAAAAAAAAAAAACCACGACCCCATCAGGCGCAAATGAAAAATTATCACTTTTTGCCTTTTATCTTTTTCTAAGGTTTGTTTGTTGCCTTTTTTTTTTTTTAACTTAGCCAGTCAAGCTTCTTCTTCATCCTCTAAATGAAAAGAAAAAAAAAAAGGTGAATTAAGTATTTTGGAAGGTTTTAAATTTTACATAGTGTGAACATTTTGTTTAATTAATTTTTTAATTAACCCACAAGAGCTTGTATTCCAGAAGGCTGTCCAGATTTCCAGGGTAAAAGTCTTCAGAGGACACCTGTATTTCTGCCTTTGGACGTGCTAAATAGGTACCCAGATCTTGGTAGCACCAAGGAGTACTATGGGATAGACAGAGCAACTCCACAACAGGCCAGGTAGGAAAACTGAGCCCAGGACTATTCCCTTGAGTATTCCACAAAACACAGGAAAGAAAACACTTTTGTTCAGTAGTCCTGCAGTGCCTCAGGTTTACTCACCCAAACTGGGCAGAAAACAGACTTGAATGTTTGTGTAACTCCTGGAGACCAACAGGAGTGAGACAAAGGAGGGATGTTCTCTGTAATATCGTGGGGAAGGAGAGGAAAGTGCTATTTAAGCTGATATGAAATTGCTGACACAAGAGACTGAATATAAACAGTTACGGGCACACTGTTGTTGGGAGGGGCAGGTGGAAGGTTTTTGTCAGACAAGCAAGAACACTTCTCAAGCAGATTTTTTACCACAAAGAGTGAAAGAGAGAAAAAACAGTTTTAGAAAGGAGCTTGAAAACTCCAAGGAGCCTTTATGACTTGGCTGCTCCATGATAGTCAGGGACTAACATTTGTTAAATATATATCTTCATGTACCTTGAGAGAAGACAGCCAGCTTGAAAATCATGTGCTTGGACAGAAGGCTTGTGCATTCTGGAGTGGAAAGGTTTAGGTGTCTATTTTTTCAAATATTCAGATGATCCACTCAGGATTTCTATTGCCTTTGATACCGTGCTGACAATCAAAAGCAGGGAAACACAGGCAAAGGGGGTGGGAAAGAGGAGACACTTTGTGATGCCCACATTTCTGTTTACTGCAGGGTATCCCTGGCAGTTCTCAGCCCATCTCTTGCCCACGGGGTGAAGCAGGGAGAGCTCCCAGTGTTGAGGACCCACAAGCGGATGCCAAATCAGCACAATTTAGTGTATGAGTGAAAACAGCAAGACTGGACTTGAGGACTTCAGACTACTAATCCCAAACTTTAACAAAGACTCTGATAAAGGGACTTAAGCAGTGAATCACCCAACAGTGAATGAAAAAAGACCTTGAGTTCTGTGCCTGGTAAAACTCTCAGAGATATTGCCACTAACACACAGCAGTACAGCCTTGGTACCCAGTGGGGTCTGGCTACTGGCCACAGTAGAAGCTTGAATTCTTCTTTCATGAGGTCAGCTCCAGGAAAATTTTACTGAAGAAATGTCTGTGGCCTCAGCTGATGCAGAAAAGTGAATGTTTGGAGAGACAAGAAATCAGGCTCCCAGCAGGGCTCCATTCATGCAGACCGAGTGCCCCTGTACAACCTGATGAGGATTGCAAACTGAAATGGCTTAAATCAATTCAGTGAAGTTTAGTAACAAAATATACACCCTGAAGCGTTAACTCTGAAAGGTTTATGTGACATGGACTATGTATCTTGACCCTGTAGATGTCATATTTCCAAGTCACTGCAACAGTCACCATTTCTGCCCTGGTTTTGGTCACTTTGCTGAAGGTGAAGTAACACCTGGAACATCTAAATGCACCTAATCCTCCACTGAGGACGGATCCCCATGAAGAACCATTATGAAATATTGTGATTGGTTATCATAAATGGCAATATTTCCCTTCTAGACATGAACTCTCAACTTTGAATTTACAGAAATCATGGTTGCCTATACAACTTTCACTTGACCAAAGGCACATTTCCACCATTAACATGACTTCTTTTTCACAAAAGTCACAGCTTGGTAAATTCACAGAATCTCTTAAAACAACTATTAAAAGTCTGGGGAAAAAAAGTAAATATAAAAAATTTCAAAGCCTTCTGGTAAACAGGACAGCCAACTACTGCTTTCATATCAATACTGCAGAACACCTACTAAGATTCATCTGTCCCTTTCTGTCTTTGTTGAGCCAGGAAAAACCATTACCCAAAGAGCAGAGTAACCCTCACAGACTGGTCAGACCATACAGGAAAAAGAAGTCCAAGAGAGAAAAAGACAAAAATGTGTGAAAGGGAGAGACGTGGCTTCATTAGAGGTAAACACAAAATCTACTTGCCAAAGAAAAGCCAGTCCAAGGAAAACTAAAACAGAAGGCAAAGCAATGGATCCCATAGGGAAAAGACCCAAGGGCTGCTGAGAGAACGCAAAGGCAGTCACAGCACTGAAAAGGTTCAGCTGGGTGTACACACAGCTCAGTGTTTCACTACGAATGGAATGTCTCCTTTAAAGTTCCTTTCACAGCCCAGCAACAGGGCTGGACACACACCCAGAGGAGAAAGGGGAAAAAAAAGAAAACAAAAAGTCCAGCCTCAAATCATCTTCCATTAAAAACCCACAGATTTTTTTTTCGAGTTTAGATTTAATGTTTTAGGTGAGGCTCTAAATGCTGAATCCTCACACAGTTTGATTTGGGGGTTATTTGATCTGGATTTTTAGTATTAATTCACCATAAGCAGGTATGGTGAAGGGCTGTTTTATGGATTAATTTACAAGGACAGTCTACAATCCAAGAAAAAACTTGGACATCAGAGAGAAAAGGCAGATGTGTGAGTCCAGCTTTGCTTCTAAAGCATCAAATGGTTGGGTGGGAATGAAGAGCTCCAATTACTCCTTCTTGCTCAAATTATCCTTTTCTTGACAGTTAAAAAGTGGAGGATGTTACAGTGCCTCTTCTACAAAACAGATGTTTTTGCAGGAGAAATATGAAGGGTCTTTCCAGGTTTTATAGATTGCTGGATTAATGAACTGTAATTTCTCTTGGATTAATGATTAATTTTCAGGCATATCACATCATAAATATGAGTAATTACAATCATGACACACTTAAAAGCAATGTAGCTGTCAGAGGAACAGTTACTTCAACTCAAAGAGGCAGCAAGGTTTGCTGGTTTGTACGTGCACAAACTAGAGACATACTAATTTTTCCATCTGTTTCTGACTTGTCATAGAAAAACAGATAACCAGAACTACTGACAGTAGTCAGAAATGTTCTGAAAACCCCCAACAACACTAACTTAAATGTGTTTTACAGAAGAAGAGAATAGAATTTGACAGGGTCATTGATCATTTGAACTACATTTCAGATCAGTGTCAAAACCAGTAAAAGGAAGCATCAGTGACTATAAATATAGAAACAGAGCATTCCCATCACCGTGACCCAGACCAACAGAGTCACAGGTAAACCCCCAGTCCACACCATTCAGCCAACTCAACCATTTTAATTTTTAATTTTCCCTGTAAGTTTTTATGTAGTTGTGTCTTTTCTCAACATGTTGTCAAGGAAACCCTCCATTCCTGTAGCTTAGCATCCAGCTCTTTATTGCTGTAGACACAAAACAATCTAGGATTTTGAACCAATTGATATGTTTGCCTTCCCACTGTGAAGGGGTCTTCACTATTACATAAGCTGGACAGAGGGAGACCATTTCTGCAAGTTCAGTTCTTCCAAAATTCTTATGGGAAATTTGCCAATTAACTCTGCTATTTATTAATTTTATTAATGATTTTACCTATCAATATTCTATTATGCTATATGCAATCCACTGAAAAACAGCCCTGTAATCTGAGTGGTGTCTTCTCATTCACCTCCATCACAATTCCTCTCTTGTTTTGTCTTTGAACAAAGTTGAGTTCCTCTGACAAACAATATTTTGGGGTTTTGTGAGAGCTGCCAGCTGAATTTCGAGTGCTAATAATCAAGTTGCAGTTGCACCCTCCTTGTATCTGTGTCATAATTTTACCTAACTTTTAGACAGGTTTTCACTGGGAGAAGAGGTACTATATATAAATCTATACAGGTACACAGAATTTATGATGCTGCCCTTCAACCTCTGGGTGTGCAGTGGTGGTGCCCTCTCTGCCCATGCTGAGCTGTCTTTGGAGCACATGAGTCAAACTCACACTGCAAACACCAGGTGAGTCTCAAGATTTGGCACCAATCATTTACCTCTTGCCTGATGTCTGAGAAGCAATTTTTCAGCATGTTCTGTACAACGCTCGTGGCCCAGAAGGGTTCTGGTTCTTATCCCAGGCTTTAAAATGCCATTTCAATTGTTACCCTCACAGAGATGATCAGTGGAACACACAGAATGCCTCGTGCATGGGTAACATCAGGATAAAGGTGGGAAATGGGAAGCAGCACTTGTACCTGCCTGGGAGAGCAAAGTCTGTCATTGCACTGGACTTGTGTTTCAGTGGTGAGTGTCATGGTAAGAGGTATTTCTGTCCCTCTCCCCTTCGGGTTTCATGGAGCTTTGCTTTTATCTGTCGCCAAGGAAACACCAGGGTTTTTTTCCCCCTTGCTCATTAATGTCTGCATTTTTGTTTCCATAGCTACAAAGGAACCTTAGTGTTTTAAAATAGCAGTAATTGGATTACCATGACTTTTTGTAATTTATTGACACCATTAATGGCTCCGATTTTCAAAAGCAGACACCAAAATTGTATCAGCAGTTTTTCAGCTATTAACATGTGTTATCTCCTTGTCCTGAAATACTGGGTACATGCTAAGAAAAGTCTCCAGCATCCAGACACTCACTGCACCCAGACTCAGGCTCCAGACGTGGTGCTCTGAAATTACTGAAAATACTCTGCTTTTTAGTCGTATTGGGTCTAATTTCTCACGGTCCCCTGCCAAGAAGTGCAGAAGTTCTGTTGTAAATCTGCTCAGTGATAATCCCAATATCTAACATATTACAGATCCTTTGTAAATTTGACCCCGGTAGGATAATCTGGGAGAATTTTTACAGTCAAATATCTGGCCAACTCAGGACACAGGAATATGGAAAGGCACAAAGAACTGAGAGCACCATTGTTGCTAAAACTGCTGTTACTTAACAGGGACATAATTCATGTTTTCTTAAAACAAAAAGTGACTGACCTGCATGTCTGTCTGTGGCTGCATGGACACTCTTACCACACTATGCCATCTTCTAACACTCCTGATTTACTTGTTTTCATTCACTTGCCTATTTGAAGTGCTTACAAAGCACCATAAGTGCATGTTCTATACCCTCACCCTTTCTTTCCAGGATCCCCAGTCCCTCCTGCCCTCAGCCTCAGTAGAGGACAGAACTGAACTCACTGTATGAACATCCCACCAGTGCCACCACTCTGAGCCCCAGCCAGGAGACACACACCAGTCCCACAGTGTAACTTGATTAAAATTAACCAACAGTTTCAGAAGTTGTAAGAGGAGGACAGACAGAATGACTGGATACCTCCTATTTTTTTTTTTTTAGAAAAAAAAAAAGCTAAAGAGAGTCACCAACCTAAAATATTTACAATGAAGGTATAAGAAAAGAGTGACAAGTGGCTAAACACAGATAAGTATGAAAAAGGAAGCCTCTTAAATCTAAAATATTAGTTCCTATTTTTCTTACTGGATTTCTGTGCATCTTGGAGGCTCAGACATTCCATTGCCATAGAAACAGTATCCTGTGTCTCTGAGGACCGTCCTGTAGATGCTGTTATGGAAACACTCATCTCAACAGCTCTCCTCATGGTATAGATTTCAGTGATTGTGTTTGGAAAGACCCATTGCTAAACTATCCTTTCAGGGTTCATTTTAATAAAAACCAAGTCTCTGAAGTATTGAGCAATTTAATAAACTCCTCGAGGCTGCTCCAAATTAAAAATACAGCAATGGAACAAAATGTATATTGAAATGAAAGGGCCCTTTCAATACCAGCCTTTCCAAATTTCTGTTGTCAGCAAAGATCTGGGGGAAAAGGTGATTGTGCTTGCGTGGAAATGAAATTCAAAACATAAGAAGGTACAGTGAGAAAATGTGGCTCAGTTGGCTGAACTGGGAACTGGGAATTCTTAAATCAAGGTGAACCATTCTTTTGTCTCAGAAAAGCCAGCTAAGTCAGAGTTTGAAAAAGATAACACCTGAGTTGGAAACTCAACTCCCACTTAATTTTTTCCTGGGAATTGAGTCCTTAGCTGATCCTAGAGCTTTGAGAAAATCTCCTCAACATTTTCATGTTTGTAATATCTGAGATACTACTACTTACTTATTCCATACTTACTTATTTGACTAGACATCTGTGGGCATGAGTATTTTTTATTTCCTTGAAAAAAGCCATCAAAGAATGTGGCACACAATCATAAGGTGTTATTTGAGTTAGTGGTCACTCATCACTTAATGTGTCAGATGTAAATAGCTTCCTGCCTAATTATATAGATTCTGCTATTTAGTTACTGCATCTTTAAACTGTAAATTCCCATTTTTTATCTTTATCTTGGCTTTTTTAAAATCAAATTCATCCACACCAAGAAGTCCCTTTCCAACCCAAACCCATCTAAGAAGGTTATATCCTATTCTTTATTCCTACAGAAAATACTAGTTATTATGGCTTGTAAAAGAAACACGTCCTAGCAGTGAGTATCTGAATATATCTGACAAGAGATAACATTTTCCTAACATTTTCTTTAACAGTTTAGAGTCTGTAAGCTTTGTTGTTTGAGACATGTGCCATGATTGCCAAGGAGTTTGTTATCCAGATTGTTACGTGTAAAGATTCCATCTTCCCAGGGCTGGTATTCCCTTAAGTCTCTGTGAACTTCACAGCTCTCAGTGCTTTCTCATATTATTTCTGAAAAGACAGTTTAAATTGAAGTGCTCATTTTAACTAACAAAGCTGACAGGTATAATCCTATTTTGTTCCTCTTCCAAAAATTCCAAGTGTTTTAGCAAGGTTAGCAGTTGTTCTCCTTCTCTTCATTTATAGCCATGGTTTTCAGAAAACAGAATAGCTTTTCTTTTTTTCTTTTGGTTTAGTATTTCAGTTTTTGGAATGCATGCCTGTGCTGATGGATTCTCTAAGAGGCAACAAAAAATACACTAATTAAAAAACAGATGACAAACCATACTCTTAATATAGGCATTTAAAAAAAGCCTACAAGCAGATGAGGTAGGAATTACTTTTTGGAAGAACATCTTTTCTAAGTTAGCACAGCAGAGATTCAACACCTGAGGTTGGCCTAAGCCCTAATTCTGCAGACTTTTTTTTCGTGGTTTTGATCCTCACTATTATTTCAATAATCAGATGGATAATTATTGACCTAAAAAGACTATTCACCACCACTTTTCTAAATAAGGGTGTTTCTTACAGGTAGTTGTGGTGAACTTTTGTTTAAATCAGTGCAGATTCCTTGTAGGAGTGTTCAGATGGTTTTGAACATTTTATCCTAATTTTATCAGCAGGGATTAAGATAGATATATATAGAGATATACATGTATATATATGTGTGACACTCCAAAACACACATTTATAAAAGGAACAAACATTAATTTGGGGGTAACCAAATTAAATAAGTTTTAGTTGCTTCTGATACTGGGCTGCCTCCAAGTTCTGTGTTTGGTGAAGCTTTGTGGAGGCTCTTTATTAATATCATAGTTGTACTTCGAGCTCGCCTTGCTGCTGCTCTCCTTGCTCATGCTCTGGCAGCAGCAGTGGCTGTGTGAGTCCATCTGCTCAGGGAGTGCTCAGCTGGTCACACAGTATTTGTTTTTTCTGTTCCTATGCTACTCATACCACTGTCCATGTGGGAGCCCCTGACTTAGAATGCGTGTCTTGATTAAAAAGAAGAGCTGCTGTAAATTCTGTGCTCTTCATCTTGCCTTCTTATAGACCTTGGGTTTTAATAATTGCTGCTTTAGAGTATTTTATGTATTTCAGAGAGTTGCTGAATGCTCAGAATTTGTCATCAGTAGAAAGTGTATATAAAAACTCCTCATTTCTGAGCAGGAAAACCATGCATTGACACTAAGAAGCTCAAACTCCAATTTTGCCATTTTATTAATCATGAACCTACTGGATATCCTATTGATTCAGTGCAGTGGAACTGATACAAGTATTATTTGCTTGGAAGTAGTTCTCAAATGACTCAATATAGAGAAAAAATAAATTGAGGCATCTGGTAAGGAAGTGCTTTAATGTACGATGTGCAAGACCTAGGTATGGAAAATTACATTTTAAATGGTTGTTTTGTGAGAAGACTACTCATTGTTAACACTACATTTGCAAATATTTATTCCTTTATAAAATATTTTTAACTTCAGTTTGTGTCTGTTCACATTTTGGACTCTACAAGCATGTAACAGAGAGCGTATGTACATCCTCAGGAGATGGATGGCATTAATCCAAGTTGGATTTCTCAGTGCTTGGAATTTACTGTGTTGTTTTTTTTTTCATTTATACATGTTGTTTATTCCTTTAATTATTGCTGAAACAGTAAGTTGCAGACAGCTTTGTTTCAGCATCACATAAGTATAGGCAGTATGATGATGGAAAAGCTTTTTTCTCCCAAAGGGCTCTCTAATTAATCATCACTAATGAAGCTGCACAAATTAACAATAATGGGGTGGGTGAAGGCCTAGGAGAGTCTGAATTCCATATCTAAGAACTGTTGTGAGCACTGACCACTCTCCATCCCTGGTACAGAGTGAGATGTGAGAGTGTGGAGAAAGACAAGTGTCTGAGTCTGCAAGCGCCCAGGCTCCGCAGCAGGATTTAGGGTTGTGAAGATGTTAACTTGGTGTTTTCCACAAGTTCTGCAAATGGATTTTTACAGCTCGTATGTTCTTGTAATATTTACCAAACTCTTAGAACCTCTTTAAGTTGTTGCATTAATTTTACTCCAGTTTTCTTTCTCTGTGTGTAGCAGGTTTGTACAGGCCTGATAAATGTGTTTGGCGTCGGATCAGGACAGTTCTAGAGAGTGTGGTGGAGTTCTTTTGCAGGACTTCCAAGATTATAAATATTCCCACATATTCTTCTCGCTTTCCTTAAGTGCTATGAGATTTCACCATTAAGTTTATAAAAAACCATCTGTAGTGAGTGTCAGACAGTGGTTACAGAACAGTGAGATTCAGACATTTATCAAGCTGGACTCTGACAAACTTAGATTTGATCACACCACCTCATTGCCTTTGACTTTTCCTAAATGGAAATCTATTATTTTACATTAAGGAAGATTTTTATTAGTTTTAAATGTTTATTAGAGACTACCATGAAAGAAAATACTTTTGTTCCAACTGTACATGAAGAATATTCTGTTAATTCATTTGCACAGAAGATTCTTGCATTCTGTTTCTATCTTAAACTCTCCTCTTTGATTAATACTTTTATTTGTTTTTCTTTTATAGATTATTCCTTAGGTTGGATGAAATAAACTCATGAAAAACCCTTAGAAGGTACTTGGAAAATAGATGTATTTTCAGTAAAGCTACAAACAGGAAACTATCACTGGCCAGATAAAATATCAAAATTAATAAACTCTTGGACTGCCTCATCCCCAGAAGGACAAGGATCACTTTCAGGTGCAGTTTTTTCACTCTCAGTCTTGCTGTTTCTCTGTGGATTGTCAGTCCAGCATTTCTTCTCAGCTTGGAGTTGGGAATTCCTGCTGTCAAGCCCAGCTGAGTAGGTTGGGACTGAGCCTGAAGTTGCTGTTGCTATTAAAGGTCTGAGGACTGTGGTCAAGCACTAGATTTCAGAAACAAAGAGCTTGATAAAAAGTTTGGACACAGGAGCAAAGTCTGAAGACCATGAGCTGTGTTTGTTTGTGATTTAACACAGATATTCTGACCACGACCTGTTGTCGCTGGTTCTTCAAGGTTTTGCACCGAAAGTTGCATTCAACAAATTTTTGAGAGCACAGTGTGTTTTTATAAGAACTCTTATTGTCTTCAGAATTGCAGGAGGATCAGATAAGGGGAGAAACATGATTATTTCCAAACAACATAACATCATCAGCATTTTCAAAGTACTTTAAAATTTGTGGTTTTGTCTTTAATTGTGCTGTTACTGTGCTTGCTCATGAGTTGTGGGTGATAACATGTGATTATCATCTGCCTACTTGATCACATGCACATTTGTGATGCTTGCAAGGGAAAACATTATCTGGCTGGTAACTGTCATACTCTGCAGAGTTTAAGAGACTGTTTCCCAGACAACAGAGTAGTCAGATTGCATCCAGGAGCTGTGCCCCGCCGGGTACCTGCACCCAAGTCAAACACCTGGTGGCAGCTGCTGCTACCACTGATGACACAGACGAGATGCAAGTGTTTGAAGAGCCCGAATCAACCTCCTGCCTGAGCTATGGAAGTCAAAGAAACAATCTAAACAATTAAATAAAAAAAAAAAAAAAAAGTCAAAAGCTGTGGTTCTAACAAGTCAAACAGCACAAGTCTTGAGTCAGCTTTTAAATTGAAACCAGATCATTCAGTAGCCAAAAGGCATTTAAGGGCCATGTACTACCTGTTTAAGACCTCTGCTGCCAGGCATAAATCCAGGGGCAGCTGTACAATGTGGTAAATCATCTCCCTGTGGCAAATTGAGCACCTTAAAACAGAACAGCCCAGGGAGCAGGTGGAAGGGCCAACACTGGAAGCAACAAGAGGTGAGTTGGGCAACTGGGTGGGATCCTGAGCGCGCTGGGTTTGCATTTTGTGTGCTGTCAGGTGGGAGGGAAAGCTGATAAGAAAAATTATTATTTGCATTCAAATGATATAAACAGCACCAGAGCCTGGTTAGTGTAGGCAGTGTTAGACAGCGTGGTTCCCAACTGCAGTACAGGGATCACATGCTCCATAAGGGAGGGATGTGAGGCAACAGCCCTCTGAAGGTGTGCAGCTCCAAGACTCTGAGCACATTTACGGCAGAAGAATAAAATAAAAGGCACCTGACAATCAAATGTTTGTCCCAGGGCTAGTGCCAGATCATTCTGTTTAAAATGCACATTTTTAATATGCCCTAACTTAAACTCTATGTTCTGAAGCAAAGATAATGTCTGGTTTGAACTTATTGGAGGGGGGCAGGATATTGATGGGATTTGGGGGTTTTTTCAAGGTGGAGGGTGTTATTCAGGGAAGGGAGAGATATTAAATTATAGGTAACAAAGTCTCAGTCTCCCCTTGATGTTCTTAGCTCTAATTAGCTAAAACTGACTGAGCTGTAGCAGTGTGGCCAATTAGCAGTTCATATCCCATGCCATCCTTTCACATCAGGTGGTCACAGGTTTTTTAAGAACTTACCCCAAATTTTTCATTTTTTTACTTGTTAAGAATGACTTCAAGTGTGAGTGGAACAGTAAATTAATTTGCTTAGTGGTCCTGTGACATTTGGTCAGAGTATCTATAAGTTTACAGAGGGTTCTTTGGGGTGTGCCATTCCCTCTGGAGGTATTGTGAGAGATCCTGGGTAGAATCTGATGGAAGATTTACCATCTTCTATACACCTCTTTCATATCTAGCTTCTGACTGCAACTCTGCCTTTCAGAGCCTCTCCAAGAAAAAGTAATTCCCTGGTCAAGATGACGAGACCATTCTCTCTTCAGCCAAAGAGTACTTTAAATCCTTTTGGAATATGCATCACCTCCTGTCAAGAGCTTCCTAATTACCTTCTGTGGATGCTACCCTAGGCTTTCCTCACTGCTTCCATAATTACAGGTTTACAGCAGGACACTTGCACTCTGAATTGGTTTTCTGTCTGGAAAGCTCAGTTTGCCGTTACCTGAGACACTGGATCTGCTTTATTTAACTCACATCCCTGAGAGCTATGTGGTGTAATTGTGCCTGTGGTGACAAGCATCTGCAAAGAAAGGAAAAGCTGCTTCATCACAGAGGAGGACTTGTGGAAATTGAAGTCTAAAGGACTGTTCTTGAGCACGTGAAGCCCCATGGACAGGGAGTGGAATACACAGACAACACATGTGATCCAGCCCCCTCTCGTGGGTTTTTTCCACACAGAAGGTAGGAATCGATCCAGGCTTATTTCTTAATAAAAATATAAACACCTGCATCTTTTTTCTGAAAGCTGACACGTCAGAGCTGTTTCATTTCTTCTTTGGGGATGGTAGGCATTAGTCTCAGGATAGAAAATGATAGTCTGTAAAAATGTTTATTTGCATTTCATATGCAACTTTACAGCCATTTTCACCAGAACAAGGCAGGAGGGTTGGGGAAAGGGATTTGTTGGCCATTTCTATAAGCTGATTTTTCTTCAAATTGAGGGAGAAAGAGCCCTAAATACTAAAGGATAGAAAACTCTCCTGAAAGACACATTTGGACTAAGGAATCTCACCACGGGTTTCCACAGGGTTTTATATTCTTTTGTAGGTGCCCATCATGGTCCTCAGTGCTCATCTTGGTAGTGCCTGAGACAGGACAGAATTAACTGAAAGAATATTTTCTTTGATTTCAATTATTAGATAATGTCAACAGATAGGGAGAAAGATACTGAATTTAACTTGCAAGGCATTAAAGAGCTGATTCTGGAAGCACAGAAGAGGAGCTTTGCTATCCAACAAAGTTCTTACAAGAAGTACATTAAGGAACAAAAAGCCAAGCACGAACAGCCTCAGGTACTGAATTTACAGTATTTAATGAAAGAGTGTTTATAGATGGGGCAGCCTGTAAGAGTTGTATAATGGAAGTCATTGAATAGGTTTGTCTGGAAAAGAAGACATTGACAATGTCAATTCTCTGCCAGTTCCACTGCCAGACTGACGAAGGGAGTGGGAACTTGTTTTTCCAGCTCAAGAAAAGAGCTTCGAATGGTTTTCATTAGTACTGCCTGTGAATACCAATACTTCACACACATAAAAACTTGGATTTCAGATCAAAGAACTGGTGAAGTGTTACTGCTGAATGTCAGAATATGACAGGGGGAAAGTATTTGACAAAATACAATTTTCTTAAGTGTAAGAAACAGTGAAGACCTCAGCTGTGATGTGAAAACTGTGAAGTGTTGTGATACCTGGAGCAGGGGAAGCAACCAGAGCCCATATGCTGCCTATGGCAAGGGAGTACAGCAGGGAAGTGCAGAGCTTTCCCCACCTACTCTTCTCTGTCTCAGTCACCTCTGCACAATTTGGTTCTGGGGACCCATTATGAACAGTACTTCTGACTTGCATTCATTTCACTCAGAAGTGCAGCTTGAATCACTGCCATTGTCACCAAAACCTTTCCAGGTTAGAATTTAGTGAGTTTTTGTTCTGCAAAAAAGATCTAGTTGATCTCTGGAACAGGGCTTTGAACCAGGGTGGTGTTTGCTGTCCTGAGACACAATATCTGTGTTTTTCTTACAGAAAGCCAAATCCCCAGTTGTGTGGGGCTGAGTGGGTTTGACAGTCTGGGCTTTTGGTACCTATAATGGAGTGCAGGAATGATCTGGACCTAATGCTAGAGATAAAGCAACTTTAGGGTTGGGAGTTATTTCCTGATACTTGTGCTTTTCAGACAAAATGGTGGCTATTTTATGAGGCCATTTCAGGAGGACAAGTCACGTCACCCTGCTGGCAAACACGGGTCTGGAAACACAAAAAACATAACCCCTTGTTCTGCAAATAAATTCTTTGGGACCTCAGAGCACATCCAGACACGATTTCTAGAACCATTTCAAGTATTTTAGTCATGCCAAAGAGGTTGCTCTGCCAAAATCCATATGAAACATCTGATCACAAGGCCCATTTCGTGCATCGGTTGCCTTCAGAAGTTGTAAGCAAACAGCTCCTGAAAGACATTTGGACTAAGGAATCTCACCACGGGTTTCCACAGGGTTTTATATTCTTTTGTAGGTGTCCATCATGGTCCTCAGGGCTCATCTTGGTAGTGCCTGGGACTGGACAGAATTAACTGAAAGAATATTTTCTTTGATTTCAATTATTAGATAGATAATGTCAACAGATAGGGAGAAAGATATTGAATTTCACAGTATTACATTCTTGGTCATAAAAATGTACACAATATTCTCAAGATGCAACATCACCAATGGAAAGAATTGAAATGTTTAGGATGTGCCACTTTTTCCTCTGCAGTTACAAATTTTCCTAAAATCTGACTTTATTATTTATAATTTCGTTATTCCTCTTACAAGTCAGGTTTATAAGTCATTCTACCCTTGATATCACTCAAACACAGAAACTTAACAAAACTCCTGTTTAAATAACCTGAAGTTTCTGTGAGCAAGAACTGCTGAAATCTAGCTCCTAATCTGCACCATATGTTGGCATGCTTCTTTCTTGGAGATGACATTTTGCTTTGCTTCCAGTAGATAACATTTCTTTTGTAGAAAGAAAAACAACCTGATGAGAGGCTACAGGCAGCCTGATGGATCAGGGATGCATCTATTTAAGGGTCACCATCTTCCCCAACTGTTTGTCACACTCAGACCTCTCAAAATGCTTTGCATTTTTAACATCCTTTGCCAAATTTTCCAGTTGCATAAACAGCTGGATGGGTATTAAGACTACAACGGATTTAGAACTGATCTTCCAGGAATAACTCTGTACACTATGGTAGATCACCAGCATGTTAATGTTGAGGGATGGTCCTGTGAGGTGAGGGAGTGAGGAAAAATAACATCAGTTGGTATCTCAAATAAAAATTTATTCTCTTAACAGCTCTCATTTAACCATTTGCTGTGGACTGAATCTGGTGTTGTGTCATTAAACAGAGGTTTCTCTGTAACACAGCTGACGGATTTGGTGTTCAGTGTGAATGAGAAGATGCAGAGGGGACATTCCCTGGATGTGAGGCCGGGATTCCCGGCCCTGTGCGCAGTGACCACGTCTCCGGGATGTTTCCCTCTCCCCCTTTTCCAGCGGGGCTGTTTCTGTGCAGCCATCAGCGCGCCGCGGTCGCTCCCTCCGCGCTGCGCCCGTGAAATGCTCTCCGGCTGCTCGAAAAGGAGCAGAAAATCCACAAAACTCACGGGACGTTCAGCGTTGCCGAGGATCGCGGCAGCAAACGCGTGACGCCGCGCCAGCGGACACATGTGGCTTTGTTTGTTGCCGCGGCTGACAGAGCGTTATCAACATCGTAAATCACCCGGGTTTGAGGCGGTCCGGGACAGTTCGCGGAAACCCTTCCACGGCGGGACGGCGCGGCCGCGGGTTATGAAATGCCTTACAAAACGCGTTACAAAAGCGCTTACGAAACCCCCCTCACACCCCGCCCGGGCGGCGTCACCCGCACACCGCCCGCCGTGACGTCACACCGCCGCCGCATACGTCACCGGGCTCCCTGCGCCCCCTGCTGGCCGGCCGCGGGAACCGCGGCGTGACGTCATCGGTCACCTGCGGCCGCGCTGACGTCATCGGTCAGCTGGGCGGGCTGGGCCGTGTGAGCCCGAGCCAAGCCCGGCCCACAGACACTGACACGGACCCTCCCACGGACCCTCCCACGGACACTCGTGTTCCTGACACGGCGGCCGCTCCCGCCCCGCCTCGCCCGGACCGGGCGGGGCCGGTGCGGCCCCGTGACGTCAGGGCGGCGCGGCGCGGCGATTGGCGGGCTCGGGCCGCGTGCCCCGCGCAGGCGCGCGGCGGCAGAGCCGTGGCGGCAGAGCCGGCCCGCGGTACCGAGCGGAGGCTGCGGGAGCGGCCCCGGCCCCGCCATGAAGATCTGGACCTCGGAGCACGTGTTCGAGTGAGCGGGGCCGGGCAGGGCAGGGCCGGGCCGGGCATGGCATGGTGGGGCAGGACAGGACAGGGGGGCGGCGGCGGCGGGTCGGACCTGGGCACGGTGGGGCTCCTCCGGGCCGGGGGTTCCGCCGCCCCGGGGCCGCCCGCCTGCTCGCCCCGTGGGTGCTCCGCGTCGCGGCCCAGGTCCCGGTCCCGGTCCCGCTCCGGCGGCCGCGGCCTCCCGTGACCTTCCCTGAGCGTCCTTGCGGGCCCGGGGTCAGGGCCGGCGGGGGACGGGAGCTGCGGGATCTCAGCAGGGGCTGTGCCTGTGCGGGGCTGTGCCTGTGTGCTGGGGACCTGTGCACGGACCCACCTGCCGTGTCGGCGCTGCTCGGGGCCGTGGTGCTGCCCTCGCCTTCAAGGGGCAGCGCTGAGCGAAGCACGCTGAGGCCCTTCATGGTGTCGGGGCTCAAGTGCTCCAGAAGACCTGCGTTAAAATACTCGTTAGAGGAGAGTAACAACTCAATAAATCACTCCAGTATTACTGAAATGTGGATGAAGTGCAGTCTTTAACATTATGTGACAAGGAAATGTTGTTATCAAGTTACAATATAATAGAACACAGGATTAAGGAGGTGTGTTGTGTGTTTGACTTGTATGTGGCACTGTCCAGTCCATGAAATACAGGGTTTTCTCTAGGAAGGATATGTGTAGGGTTGAGAAGTGGAAATGGAACTGCTTTAAAAATGTAAATCAATGGATATGTGTCATTCAGTTTTAATAGAAATCCTGTTAAAACCAAAGGTGTACAACTTTGTGTCCTGCTTGTTTCGCCAGCCACCCCTGGGAAACTGTGACCACAGCTGCCATGAGGAAATATCCAAATCCCATGAACCCCAGCGTGGTTGGAGTCGATGTCCTGGACAGACATGTGGATCCCAGTGGGAAGCTGCACAGCCACAGGCTCCTGAGCACAGAGTGGGGAATTCCCTCCATTGTGAAATCGGTGTGTATTGAGTCACAGAGCCAGAAAGGCATCCCTGCAGGGAAGGGAAGCTCGTGAGCCAGGTGTTGTAATACATGAGTATCATTTCATAACTTTAATGGTTTAAAAATACAAGCAGTAATGTATTAGGAAAGTTCAACAGAAGTACACACTTCCCAATAGCCAGAGATTGCCTGGATCTTGGATTGCTTCCACTGGGAGGACTGATCTACCTCAACTCAAGAGTCTTCTTTTAAGCTAAACCCTAATTCTGTTGTCTTGGTGTGTGTACAATGCAATTATCACTACTTACACATTTAAAGGCAGGAAAAATTGCATAATTAATCCCATCTGTGTTTGTCCTCCAGCTCATTGGCACCTGCAGAACAAGGACATATGTTCAGGAGCACTCGGTTGTTGACCCTGTGAAAAAAACAATGGAGCTCAAATCCTGTAATGTAAGTAGCTGTGTTTGTGCAACTGCAGTGGATTACAGGGTATAACAGTACCTTGTGCATTTGAAAAGGAAAGTCATCTTGAAAATAACTTGAAAATTGCATTAGAACAATACAAGTGAAAGGTTTAATGTGGTTACAGGTGACCGGTTCTGTTTTTCAGGAAGGAGCTTCTAGGCTTTTGGAATTTGTCAGGACTGAAGCACCTGAACATTCTGATGAGCAGGACAGGAGGAGTTTTAGGGGTGGGGGGGGGTGGGGTGTGTACACACTGTGACTGTTTCCTAATCATGTAACATTTTGCCCTCTGTACTACTCCATCCGTCTGATCCCACTGTGGAAATGTTCTAAATGTGGTAGCTGGTAAATGATCCAAAAAAATTAGGAGAAATAGATCAGCAAATGCTGAACTTGGAGATTTCTCTTCTTGTTCTGCAACCCTATACTTGCAGGAAAAGTAAAATGTTTAAATGCAATACAAGCATTAGTTTTGAAACAGCAGTTTTATTTGCTAATCCTGTCTTTTGCTCTACAGATTTCATTTACAAACCTCGTATCAGTAGATGAGAGGCTTGTTTATAAACCACACCCTCACGAGCCACACAAGTAAGTACCTCTCTGCTCTGAGGTTGCTCTGAAGTAATACAGACTTTGCTTGGAAAATTTCCATGGTTTCCCTTGAACAGTAGATGAGGCTTACATTGCCTCTGTTATGGTAACTTTAAAAAAGGATTAAATGGACTGTCATTTCCTCCAGTGACACTGCTTCTGCAGAGCACCACTGGGACACTTCGGGTCATGCTGTGAAGGAGCCCAGTTCAGCTGTTCATGGGTGGCCTGTCTGTAACTGAGTTTGTATATCTGCAGTTTCCAGCCCCTTGTTTCTGACCTCTCCATCAGCCTGAGCAGAGAATCTGCACTAGAAAACACATTAATCTATTAGTCACTAATTTTGGAGGTTTGTGTTTTGGTGGTTGGTTGGGGTTTTTAAGGCAATTTTACAGCTTACTGAGTCTGTACTGCTGGAAGCAGTGATAATTCTGAAGGATCATTCTGGGATTTTAACATAGTTTTTTTCTCTCATGACTGTCAGAAATGTTAAATCCCTGTTGTTGAAGGGAATGTTTTTAAATACTATTTTCCCAGTATTCCAGATCTTGTGTTTCCACTCTTAATGTCCCACTGCTAAAGATGGAAATGGCTGAGTGCCACAAAGGAGCACTTGGACTTGGTGGGCACTCTTGGCTTTTATTTTATGAGTAGAAGCATAAACCAGTTCTGTGTTACACAACCAGGCTGGTGAGGGAATGCACTTGTTGGGGAGGAGTGAGCTGCTTTCAGCAGTGCATTCTTTTTTAAACTGCTCAGAATAATTCAGTTTCCTGCTCTCTGTTTCAGAACCATCCTGACACAAGAAGCAATAATATCTGTCAAAGGTGTCAGTCTCAGCAGTTACCTAGAAGGGCTAATGGCAAACACAATTTCTTCTAATGCTAAGAAAGTAAGTATGACCTTTGTGTAAAACATGTGAATGCTGACTGAATGTCAAAGGCAATAAAAACCTCTATTCTACTTTTTGATTTTGTCAGCAGTCTTAGGAAAGGGCCACATAGTTCTACTGCCCTTACTGCAGAGACTTGAATGCTCAGTGTGCTGAACTTCTTCCTCTTTCTCCTCTTGAGAATGAAGATAATAAATTATTATTGGCAAAGGTCTCTGAATCCTCACCAGGGAAAACATCTCCACTCACTTGACAGTTTGGCACTGTCATGCTGCCCGCTTGATGCCATCTATTAGTTTTTGGTGTTGAAAAAGGATGTACATCCAGACAGATCTGAAGTAGTTCTGTGGGAGTAATGACATGTTTTAATTGAGAGTCTGTCCTCTAGGAATCCAAAGGTGTCTTGAGTTCAGCCTCAAGAATGATAAAACAACCTGGATAAAAGGTCTTTTGTAGATCATAATGTGAGCACTGCTGACCTAAGGAATTGTTTTCATGAAATGTAAGGCAGGACATGTTCCTGCAGTACTCTAGTTATTGAAATAAAAAATACCAGAGGAGTGTATTTCTGTACCTTTTCTTTTGTCATTTTCAATAAGACAGGACTTAACCTTTATTTACTTCTTTACTAATATTTATACATTGCTAAACTTCTCTTTAACTGCAGGGCCGGGAAGCACTGGAATGGGTAATTAAAAGACTGAATGCTGAAATAGAAGAGTTTGCAGCTTCAGCAAGAGGAACCATGAGGAACTCGATGGCAGCAGCAGCGTTTGTAGAGAAATGATAGTACTTATACCTGTATCACTAACGAGGCTTAACAATCTGCAGCTTTTCTCCAAGCCTAAATACACAAATCCTTTGTTATTTAAAGGCATACCTGTGTATTAGGCACGTCACAAATTTCATTTGGAGAGAAGGTGAATTCTTACTAAGGCTGAGGTTCAAAGGCTATTTAATATATTGGGTCAGCTGGACCGAATTTCAGTTACAGATGAAGAAATAATTTTCTAGTTCCTGTATTTACATGAACACTAACTTAGAATGTTTGCAGATATGAAATAGCCTCGCTTAGTG